CGGCAAGCCACTCCCACCTGGTCACATGACTGACAAGCCACTCCCACCCAGTCACATGGCCGGCAAGCCACTCCCACAAAGCAGGCCACACCTACAGAAGTTCTAAAAAAAATTGAAACCCACCACTGCCCCATACATGCATGTGCAACCCTCCCCTATGTCCCGTTTTGGGCCTAGTAGGTCTCCCTGCAGCCACTTGGACCAAAAATGGGCCTCGGAGTGGGGGCGCACTGTAACCCCCATGCTCCTCCCACCCATGCATGCGTGTGTGTCTTTTGCATGTGCCCCACCCCCATGCATGCACAGCAGAGACCCGAAAGTCAGCTGGCCGGCAGAGGTGCACACACATGCGTGGTGGAGCTGAGCTGGGGTGATGGCTTAAATACCCGCACAGAGGGCTCTGCATGCCACAGTTTCGCCATCATGGGCCTATTGAGACATTACCACATGGACATGGGAGACATGTCTAGAGAGTCATGGGTTGCTTTCAAAATGTCCAAAAAGGACTGCTGAAGGTAATCCATCCAGCCTGGCTAAAGAGAAAGCCTTACAAAATTTCAGAATCATAATAGATAATAAAAACAAAGCATTTTAGAGGTAAATAATGGATGTCACAACTTGCTTAAATTCTACCCAAGACAGGATCCTGAGAAAGGCAACTGCAAGCTTTCCTCAATGTAGATGTAGTTCCATTGAGGACTACAAGCTGAGTGTGATTGGTCAGCTAACTGCAAATCCATCTGATAGTGGTACTGTCTACTCCAGAATGTTCTATCTTACCAAGAAGTAGGCTGTGTTCTACTTTGTCAAATGACTTACTGAAATCTAAGTTTATTATAGTGACAGAAATGAGCAAAAAGTGACTTTGTGTTGCATGACCTTTGCTGATTTCTAATCATTATCTTGTTCATATTTACATGTTGACCAATCCATTGCTTGATGATCTTTTCCATGATTTTCTTAGGCATTGATGTCAAGTTGATTGATCTATTATTTCCTAGTTTTACCTGTTTTCTATTTGTCCTAAATTTAAGGTTATTATTTATATAAACCACTTTCTATTGTATATAAATATTTATAAATATTAATACATTAAACATTCATATTATTTTAAACTATAAAACTGTTCAAATTATGATAAACCATCTAATCTATGTGGTCCTAAGGGATACATTTTTGGCTGCCTACCTAAACACAACATGATTGGCAGATGTTATCTGGTTTTGGGGTAAAATGAGCCTATTATAGATTTAAAAAACACTTTTTTTCCATGTGCAAGACAAACAATTAAGATTGTGTATTAAAACAGGGCTTCGAGGGGAGGAGCTGCCGCCGTCGGGAGCTCAAAAAAGNAAGAAGGACTAGGGGAGACATGTTAGAAGTCTTCCAATATCTCAGGGGCTGCCACAAAGAAGAAGGAGTCAAGCTGTTCTCTAAAGCACCTTTTCAGGCAAGACAAGAAGCAATGGGTGGAAACTAATCAAGGAGAGAAGCAACTTAGAACTGAGGAGAAATTTCATGACAGCAAGAACAATTAATCAATGGAACAACTTTCCTCCAGAAGTTATAAATGCTCCAACACTGGAGGTTCTTAAGAAGATGTTGGATAACCATTTGTCTGAAGTAGTGTAGGGTTTCCTGCCTAAGCAGGGGGTTGGATTAGAAAACTTCCAAGGTCCCATCCAACTCTGTCATTCTATTCTAAGAGCCAGCATCTCACTTCAGAGAAGTACTAAAATTAGATGATTTTCCAGTTGGAAAGTACAATATATTTGCAGATAAGCTAAGAATTGAGTATATACAGTAGTTTTCTTTCTGTAGATAACATGAAATGGTACGCTTTTGACATAGGAAGCACTGAAGATTGTATATATTTGCAGTTTACATATTCTAAAAGTGATAGAGGCCAGGCACTTTAAAACACCCAAATAAAATGTTTTTCCTTTGACCCTAAGACACCGTAATATTTGTGCATATAAGAGCTATTTGATGTCCAGCAATTCTGCCCTTGAAACTCTTGTAATATTAAGGTGATAGCATGAATGATTTAGCATTTTACCAATCAGAGCTCAGAAGAAACTTCTTCAGTTTATTGCTTCAGTTATCAATAACCTGATTATTTCTAACCTTTTAGGATCCTTCCAGTGAAATTGCACAACAAGAATCAAAACAAAGGTATTTCAGAACTTGTTTCTAGAACTTAACATTCTTTTTCTCTAACAGTGGGGCATATCCCAAACTTAGAACAATAGCTTATGGACATTCAGTTTCAAATCTTGTGGCTTTAAGAATATTTAGATCATATAGATATGATTTTGCAAACATTTCATGATAGAGTATATATTTTCTTTCAAAAACATGCATTGCAGCATTTTAGATGGTATATTATTAAATATTTGAAAATCTTTAGGAAAAAGAAAGTTGTGATGGGTGTGCACTAACTTTTATGATTGATCAGTATTCTCTACAAACAGTGGGATTAATGGCTTCTGTTCTCTTGTTTAAAATTTTTACAATATTCTGTTGTTAAAATGTTTTGCTGTTCAATGCTGAAAGATATTCAAGTTCAAGCTGGTAAAATAAATGGATGTTTTTCCAATTAATTTCTTATTAGAATATGAGCTTTGTGGGATAATTTGTAATCTGTCACTCTGATTAAAAAATTTGCTCTGGCAATTACTTATAAATGTAAAACTGATTTTATTTTCAGTTTTTGAAGAATTATAAAAATTAAACATGTTAATGTTAAAAAATAATATTATGGAATAATTAATGGAAAAATATCAAAAAGATTATATTCTAATAAGAAA